TTTGTTAATTCATGTGTCAGTCAACATGATAACATCTCCAATTGGTCGACGGGGACGTTACCAGACTCACGTGCTAGGCCTCCTCACTGAGGGCGGGGCCTACCTACTAGCTGCCGGTAGGCTGGATTGTTGTTGTTTGTGGGAAAAGTACTTCAAAAGTACAAAAACTACTCTCTTAAAATGGGAACCCGAGATGACGAATACGACTATTTGTTCAAAGGTAATTTCTTCTTTAGATTGTAGATGAACGACAGCGTGTAACTGATAGTCCTCTTTGTGGAAGTTCGATGACAGCCACTGAGGAAGTAACCTAAGCCAGCGTAAAATGCTAAGGTTAGCTCTACTAGTAGCAAAGTGCCAAACGGTGACATGAGCAAACCCTGTAATAAGTAGTATAACACCATCCAGTAGTGTGTAATACTGAACCACGTTGATCGTAACGCGTATTTTTTAATTGTAGACCTTCAACTCGCGAACATATACGCGAGACCCGGGATGGCAGCTGACGCTAGCGAGTTAGCGGGCTAACGTTTAGGCAAATGATTGGCTAAATAAGTAAGCTAGCATGCTAACGTTGCAGCTACCCGGCCTAGCTGGAACCAATCTCTCAGGCGATGTTTTACGAAGTGACGCAGACGGAAGATGACTTAAAAACAATCTGCTGATTTACGGCGGCTTTCTGTTGTCCAATACGGAAGTATTGTTTTACAATAGCTTCCCTTTTTAAAGAGTCATCTAACGGTTTTGCTAACACGAACTACTTCGCTAGCTAACTTGCTGACACCGTCAAACAACGAGCAGAACCGCTGCTTGACATTTTTCTCATTGCTGCTCTTTATCACATTATTCGCTGTTGTATTCTTCAGTGTTTCCTGACCAGGCCAGACGCGTAACGTTATCGCCACAGTCCTTTAAAGATGAAGAGACTCTCATTGGGGAAATCTGGCAACAATATGTAGCCATATATTTAGAGACTTACAAAAGTCATCAAAAATGCTCATAAATTGAAGTGTTGCTGATACACATTTAGTATATTTATTCCCACAACAGCTGGTAAAACTACTGTAAGAGAGAACTTAATAAAGGGAAACTGTCTACTTGTATATTACTAATGGTATTTAATGACATCTCCTTTTTAAAATATCTCCTGAAAAATCTGCGTGATTGCTATTTATCAACCTACTAAACAATTCCATAAACCACCGTTTTTTGTTTTTTTAATCACATCATCTGTGCTATGTTTCCTTTTTTTATGTTGTTCTAGTCGTTCTAATCGGAGACTCTGGAGTGGGGAAGAGCAACTTGCTGTCCCGGTTCACAAGAAATGAGTTCAACCTGGAGAGCAAGAGCACCATCGGGGTGGAGTTCGCCACCCGAAGCATCCAGGTGGACGGCAAGACGATAAAGGCGCAGATCTGGGACACAGCTGGGCAGGAGCGCTACAGAGCGATCACCTCAGCGTCAGTTCTTATTCTTACAAATATGAGCTTAAAGGCCAATTGTACCCATTTGAGATGTTGAATTTACACACTGTGTTCATTCTTTACTCATCCGTTCCTCTGCTCTGCTGTCACCAGGTATTACAGGGGTGCGGTCGGAGCTCTCCTGGTGTACGACATCGCCAAGCACCTGACGTACGAGAATATCGAGCGCTGGCTGAAGGAGCTGAGGGACCACGCCGACAACAACATCGTCATCATGCAAGTCGGAAACAAGAGCGACCTCCGCCACCTCCGGGCCGTGCCCACCGACGAGGCTCGAGCCTTCGCAGGTAATTCCAAATAGTTAAAGTTGAACTCATAAATCTAAGGGGAGACACTACAAAGGCAGGGTAAAACAATTTATTAATCAGTATCATAATGAAACGTACACAGCCGATTTGACTCGCCCTTCTGTTTAACTAGTCAAATGAGGCCTTTTCATTTGTTTTAATTTGCATGTATTTCCAGTACAGAAATGGGAACATTGCAATGAATGATTTATAAGTCAAACTCTAGAGTCTTGAGAGAAGACCACCGTTGTTCACATTTTAATCAATTTGAATTTGCAAAACATACTTTGTCTCCTTTTTCTGCTCAGAAAAGAACGCTATCTCATTTATTGAAACCTCCGCTTTGGACTCCACTAATGTAGAGGAAGCTTTTAAGAACATTCTCACAGGTAGGAAAACTGTCCACTCTAACATGCAGTCGATTATATTGTTTTTGAATGTGTTTCTGTATCTCTGAGACCTTTCACCAACATTTCTTTTTTTACTCGCTGTTTTCTCTCTCAGAAATCTACCGCATTGTCTCTCAGAAGCAAATATCGGACAGATCTGCACATGACGAGTCCCCCGGCAACAACGTAGTGGACATAAGTCTCCCCCCGACCACAGACGGCCAGAGGGGCAACAAGCTCCCGTGCTGCCAGAGCCTGTGACGCTCCTGTCCTCCCCGTCCTTCGTCCCTGTTTGACTTTCTGTCGTTCTTTTCATCTCTTCACCTCCGGTTCACTTCAGTTGTCATGCTGCTGTCAGAATGACGCCCGCTCGGGTTCAAAAGTCTGCGACACCAAGACTGTTTGTACCGTACATTCCTCTCACCCCTCCCACTCCCCTCCCCCCCACCTCCAGCTGTATACTTGTTTTTTGTTTATTTTCCTTTCCTCCAATTCTCCATTCTCAGCTGAACCTGTCCACTAGAATTCACGACCTGCGATGGTCTTCAGAGGGACGGGGTGTAAAGCCCTTAAAGGTCCGCCCCGACTCCGTTAACTATCCCTCCGTGGTCCCATTGAGCCGCTCCCGTTGCAGGAATGGTGAGGGATCCGTAGACCTGTGCGCCAGCGCTTCGAGTGGTTTGTTCCCTTTTCCTCAGCTCGCAACGAGGCTGGAGTCCCAATTTCATGTCTGGTTGACCCGATTCTGCCCGTCACACAGTGTGGAGGAGACGAGCGCGAGGTACCGCTGGAGTATTCGCGTGTCCTCTGCGCCGTCTGGATTTTCGATTCGCCTCTTTGATTTTAATTTTCCTCTTTGAGCCGTGAGCCCACTGTGGCAGGAAATTAGCATGAGCCAGGGACCAGACTGGCTGTGACTGTCTGACTTGTTACGGGCAAGTGGGGCAGAAATTAAGTGATTTTATGTGTGCGAGTGTGTGTGTGTGTGTGTGTGTTAATCTTGGTGAACAGAGAAACCAAAGTAGAAGAGTGCAATCTTATCAGTTTTGGGTTATCTCATTTAAGCGTGTTAAAGGCGGCTGAAGTTGCATTTCATTTGCTGTGTCTGGCGAACCAATCTACGCGATTTGCTTAAGATCTGTAATGCTAAATAGCGAGATACATGTTATAAATTGTGTCTGTGTGTGTGTGTGATTTATTATTTGTGTGATAAAATTATCAGCCTGGATCAGTTGGCTGAGCTCAATTTTCTTTTAACAAGCTTTCTGGAAAATGAATCTTTTGCACTTATGTCCAATCATTTCAGTGGAACAAATCACTTTTTTTAATAACTCAAACCTCATTTCCCTTTTTTTTGTGAAGTTGTTGGATCAGAAGACAGAAAGCACTGTATGATGTTCTTTGTCTTAAACAGCACTTTCCTCACATGTACTCGATCACCCTTTTGGTTTTCATTTCTTAAAGGGAAGTGTGTAATCAGAGAGCATTTAAATGTTGAATAAAACCAATTAAAATACTCCATGTAACACTTTAACTCCAGCTAACTGCGAAAGTGGAACTGTATCTGCAATGCAAATTGTCTGTGTGCAAAGCTGAAATGTCTCTTATTCACTCACGTGGAAGATTTGATGTATTACGTCTTATATTTCACTTTTTTCTTTTTCTTTTTCAAAACATGTAATGCAGCAAACTTGATTTGGTCAATTTGCTTTACACAGGAAAAAAACCTGAAGCTTAAATAAATCTGGTTCACGAGACCGCATTCAGTAGGAGACACATATTTTTGGACCTCACTGACGTGTTGATTCCAACACGCCGCCGTGTGCCGACTTGGCTGTGAACTTCAGGGTCGGTCGTCCTGTCGGAGGAAATGTTTGTGCAAAGAGCGGACGGGCGTCATCGAGTGCGTCCGACAGGCCGCCGCTCTACGAGGTCACATGACTGCTGGGAACTCGTGTGCAGGGCGACGGGTAGTTGTGGTAGTAGATTCTTCATCCTCATTCAAACAAATCTTGTCTTTTTCCAACACTATTACTGAAGAACTCATTTAAATGCATAAGGAAACTATCAAGTGGCCTTATTTTTCACTGTTGAACGTGTCAGCGAGCTCCCGCTTGATATTGCTTACTTTTATGAGAGTTCTTCAGGTGCCCTTTGATCCAGTTGCATTAACAGCACTCCTCTTCTTCTTTCTTTTTTTTGTTAAGGATCTGCTGCCAAAAATGAAATCCCTATCGGCCAGACGACTAATATCACTTTGTTAGTCATCATGCCCGTCTCCGTCCCATGAGACTCGGATTAAAGATGTCCTTTACTTCAGTTAAATAGGAAAGATTAAATGCACACCGTGTGAGTCAATGGTTTCCTTAAGAGACACTTAACCAAAGGCCTTATTTTTATTTATATAGTAAACGTTATCTGACGCCTTTCATACAGAACCTGCAGGTCAAAGTGCTTCACATAAAAAAAGAGGAAGCATGAATATCACACTGGTAAAGCTACAGTGCCCGTTGTTGCAGATAAGTATTAATTATATAATAACAATTAGATTACCCCCCAAAATATAGTATTTTTTGCAAGTAGTATACATATTTGTTATTTATTTAAAATACATTTGTACCCACTGTTAACCCAAAGTAATGACGTACAAACGTTACATTCCCCCATAAACAGCTGCTGTGAACTCCAATAGAAACGGCTTTAAATAAATAAATCCTGTTTTCTTTGTTCACGTCTGTTTGTTACATTGTTCCCTTGAGGTGTTTTTCTCTCTCTTTTTTCATGGCGGCCCCTCCTTCCCTCCCTCCTTCCCTCCTTTCCTCCCTCCCTCCCTTCCGCCACAGACCGCTGTGATCCGCGCGCGGACCCGCACTACTCGTCCGCTTGTGTGTGTTTAACGGCGCGACGATCCGCCTCCGGCGTTTATTTATAAAGCTCCGTGGAAGCGGAAGCCGGGCCCGCTTTGTGCTACCGGGCTGCTAGCTGCGTTAGCACAGCGCTAAGTTAGCATATCGTCAGCTAGCTTCGCTCTGAGCGCCGCTGTTCACATAAAACGTTACAGCGAAAGATTTTTTTTTTTTTAAATGGAGCAATAGCCGAACGCGGCGGAGGTCTTGGTGGTGGTGCGTGAATACATTTAAGAAGGAGAAGCCGGGTGAGTAAACGTTTTAAACCTTTTTTCTTTGTTTGTTTTTTGTCTGACGGTTGGCAGCTAGCTTCTGACAGCTGGAAGCTAACAAACAACACAGCTGGAACAAACGACACAGAACTTGTATAATTGCTTTTTAATGTTGCAAATGTGTCCCTGTAACATAAAACGTCATTTAACGTAACTACACGCAGATAGTTTATTCCGCCACTTCATTATATTATTGATTTGCCTTTTTTATGTACTTTTATTTAGTGTTTTGTACCGTTTATACATCTTTGTTTGTAAGTATGCCGATGTATTTAAGTATGTGTACACGAGTTCCTTATTGTGCTACTAAGTTATATACTTCTAATGTTACCAGATCTCAGAGGGAAGTATTGTAGTATTTAAGGAAGTAGTTAACGTCCATTTCTCTGAACTTACACAATCAACTTTCACAATATATATATATATATACGTGGCTTCTACTTATAGTTTATTTAATGTTAATAATATTTGTTCCCTTTCACAATTTTGAATGTAGGACTTTTACGTCTAACAGCATATTTCTACACTGGTATTACTGCTTTTAGTGAAGAAAAAGATCTATGAACGTGTTTGTTCATCTAGTTACGTGTATGCGTTTACTACATTACTACTTTATTTACTCTTAATTTATATGACTTGGTTGGATATATATATATTTTAGCGTATGCTATTTTATGTCTGGATTCTCTGCTTCTGTGAACGTTTTGTGTGTGTTTACATTTATCAGTAATAAATACATCATGGCGTAATATATTAGCGCCTATTAACTGATAAACGCAGTATACTAAAATGATTTTCTCATATTCACATTTAAAATAAAATTTAAAAATTCCCAGAAATACTCGCCCCGTTGGAGGTGAAAAAACCCCCTGGTTTTTTTTTTTGGGGGCCTCCTCTTTTTTTATTGTGGGCAGAGATTTCTTTTATTGGGCCCCCCCCCCCCCCCCCCCCCCCCCCACATGCCGTTGTTTTGAATGGGTCAAAAGCTACGATCATCTAACCACAGACTTGTCTCATGTTGCGTCTTTCTTTCTGCTTTTAACAATCCAAGTGTGAGCAAGATGACATGATATTTGTTAGTCACCAAGGCCAATGATGCTTCTGCGACATCTCCATTATGGCTGTATTGGATTATTGGAGTTATCTGTAAAATATGACTGTAATATAATAAAGAGCGGAACTATTACGGTAATTAATGAGTAACTAAAACGTCACTTCCTTCACCAGCATGGTGATTGTTTCGCTTTCTTTGTGGATTTAATTAGATGTTGTGAACAAAACAAATTATTTTAGAGTGTGAATTCTTGTGTTTATTATTCAGAAGGAGATGAAATAAAATCCTATCAAATGAAAACATCATTCCTGCGATGTTCAACCTGTTTAAAACCAACCTGACGCCAGCAGTAAATAGTGCCATATGTTTTTTATGTTAGTTTGAGTGTAATATTGTAGTTAAATACTGAGCTTTTTGGTTTTCCAGCTTTGCTCATTTGGTAGCTCATAACGGAGTGGAGTGACTGCAGTGGGCTCAGCCTGGTCTCTTCACTGGGGGGGTTTTATCTGAGGGCAGACGGCTGTTTATCGGTCTGCTGCACATCACACTCGCTGCTTCTGACGAACACACTTGCTTTTCTAATGGATTAGCATGTGGGCGAGTTGTAGCTCCTCGGAACTGACGTCTTCCCTGTGCGTGACCCGGTGTCGCTGTTAATAACCGTTGTTATTATCACATGTCAGCAAATCAAGTCTGCTGCTTTCAAACTATATTCAACTTTACTCGCCCTGAACAGCTCAACTGGATATTGTTACATTTAGATGCAATTAAGGGAAACCATGTAAAAAGTTCAACATTTCATCTTTAATGAAAATGTAGTTGAAGATCCCCCAGAATGCCTCACACCGGCCCCTCGGCGTAAAATCCCTCCATCCATTAAAGCTCATTCTGTCTCTTTCTCTCCTGGTAGAAACTCACCGTCACGCCTGAGGACCGAAGCCTTTACCTTCCGACCCCTTTATCACCTCTACGGCTGGCGTTCGGCCTCTGTAACCATGACGACGGGGGGCTGTTGCCACCTGCCGGGCTCCCTGTGTGACTGCGCCAGCAGCCCCGCCGCCTGGAAGAGCGTGGAGGAGGCGGGCGCCGACGGGTGCCAGGCGCTCTACGTCGCCCAGGTCACCGCCGTGGACGGGCAGCTGCTCTCCTCGGTCCTCAAACCCATGAGCCCGCAAAGGTGAGACCGTCGTCATGGGAACGGCGCCGTGACGAATCAATCAGCAGTCCAACAGTGACATTTTGCTAACGTTCTACATGCATTTTCATGCCTGTCAGTCTTGTGTTGGGTGTGATCGTATATTTATCGTAGCCTCTATTTAGTGAGTAATGTGATCACATGATGCAGCTCCCCGATATCACACCTGCGTTCTGCAAACCCGACAGGTGAATAAGAAGAAGTTAAATGCGTCGCTTTCACTTGGCAGAAATGGCTCGAACGTGTCTGTTGGTCCCTGAGTTTCACCGCATTCTAAACGCCACGTGTTTGTCCTCAGCGACGGGCCCATCTGCCGTATTTGCCACGAGGGAGGCGGCGCCGAGAGCCTCCTGTCTCCGTGCGGCTGCACCGGCACGCTGGGCGCGGTGCACAAGAGCTGCCTGGAGAGGTGGCTTTCCTCCTCCAACACCAGCTACTGCGAGCTGTGCCACTCGGACTTCAGCATCGAGCGCCGGCCCCGCCCCCTCACAGAGGTAACAAAGGTCAACGCCCGCGTCCCTCTCTGGTGACGTCTGGTGCTGCTGCCTAACAGGGAATGCCTTTTCTCGATGGATGTAAAAACATCGTCCCCCCTTTGCTCCACAGTGGCTGCAGGACCCGGGCCCCCGCAACGAGAAGAAGACGCTGTTCTGTGACATGGTGTGCTTCCTGTTCATCACGCCGCTGGCAGCCATTTCCGGCTGGCTGTGCCTGCGCGGCGCCCAGGACCATCTCCAGCTGGGCAGCTGGCTGCAGGCGGTGGGCCTCATCGCCCTCACCATCGCCCTCTTCACCATCTACGTCCTGTGGACTCTGGTAAGGCGGGAGTTCAGCCGCCACTTAACAACCGCCCCCTAAAGGTTAGTCCTCTCTGCCCCCCCCCCTCTGACCCCTCCCCTCTCGTCGTCTGTTTGTGCAGGTGTCTTTCCGCTACCACTGTCAGCTCTACTCCGAGTGGAGACGAACGAATCAGAAAGTGCGTCTGCTCGTTCCCGAAGCCAAGGGCTCGAACTCTTCCCAGCATTCATTGCTCTCCGCCAAACTAATGAAGTCCGCCAACGACAGTATAGTATGAGGCTGATGAGGATGATGGAGACTGTTCTGTGCAGGGGGGGGGGGGCGATTGTGGCGTGCTGGAAAAAAGAAAAAGCACTTTTACAGCAAAGACCAGACGTTGCCCCATTAGTACTTATTCTAGAACATATCCGCCCCCCTGTGGGCACATTCAGGTGGCGTCTGTGTGTCGACCACCTCAAGGCCGCGAGCAAGCAACCAGCACACGGAGGAGGGGCCGATACCTTTTACCGTCGCCATGGACACGATGGCGACATTAAACAGCGACGGTGGGATCAGGGAGGGACCAAACTAAAATGAAGCGCGTTTGACTCTGCGGAAGACGCAGCTTCAGACCTTCGTTTCTCCGCACCGGAGAAAGTTCAACTGCTCGATTAGGCGCCGTGTCTTGGCGCGCCCCCCCGACACCCCCGAACCCCCCAACAAAGGAGGGACGGGGGACAAAGTTGGGCCTTTCGCTCGCCGCGTCCGATAACGGGGAGTATCTCTAGATGCTATGACATCCGCCCGTTTTCTCTTTTTGAAGGATTTCTTGGTCCGATCACAATCCAGAAGCCGGCGGCGCTGTGGTTTTGTTTCAGCAGCTGCCTGCCGGCGCTCTCGCTCCACCTGATGGCGACGCGTCCCGAGATACGAGTGCAATAAACGCCTGTGGACATCGAGGCCTCTCCCAACATGCTCAGCTATGCACGCAAGCACTGTTGGCCGTTTCTGAGTGTGTTTTTATTTTGTGGTGTTACTTTATTATCCAAATTCTGTTGTTGCTTTAAGGAATGAAGAGGTTCACTTGTGTCCTTTGTCAGCGCTCTGACGCCGGGTCCTTTTAACGGCCCCTTCGAGTCCTTGATTTCAGCTCGGCGGTTTGATCGCGATGTTTGTTTAAAACGACACACGCCTCCATTTGTGTGGAAACGGAAGCTTCCTGCGAGCGTCAGTCGTCTCGCGGCGAGATGGAAAAAGCTTTTTTCCCTCTGTGTGTTTTTTTTTGCTTCTGCCGCTTCGGCGTGAACTTTGACCCCGCCAACCACGTGTGTGTTGGTGGGAACATTATGCAAGCACCACTAAGGCTTAATCTGATTTTAGCTTTGTTTTGGGCTTTTCCTTTTTGGATCCGTCTGAAGGTTGTTTTGTTTTGACGTTACTGAGCATCTGGTCACGTTGACTTTTGGGCTCAGTGTTAATGAGCAGATCGTCACACGGAGGATTTCTGTTGTGTGCAATCGATTTAAACGTTGCTCTTATTGGCCTTTGGGGTTTTTCCTACTGAGCGACATTACATTTTTTATTATTAACGAGGGATTTACATACAAGTCATGATTTGTTCTTTCTGTGCTTTTCATTAACTTGTCAAATTACAAAAAAATGCAGCACATCTGGATTTTATGCATCATTGCGTTATTAATGCACAAGTATTTGCTTTTTAACAATCAGGCTCTTACTTTAACTGTTACTTTAACTTCTGCGCGCCGTAACGGGGCGTCTGTACACCTGTTTGACTGGGCGCCTTTACCAGTAACCAGTAACCAGTTACCAGTGGCTGTGTAAGTCCCGTCCTTCCCTTCGGCCTCAGTGTCCCACATTCTGTTAATCGTTTGTTTGTGTTTTTACTTGATCTCAGAACAACAGATTATGCACGCGGGGGGTGTTTATGAGCTTATGAGTCATCCGTGTTTACTGTCTGTCGGCAACGAGGCTTTAGTCCAATTATGAAGACGCATCGGGGGCTGGTTAGAGGCGAAGGGGGGGGGCGGGGCCGCCGCTCAACAACAAACTGTAGACGTCCTGGCCTACAAAGTACACGGCGCTGCTTCTCCTGTGCCCCCCCCAAGTCTCCAAAGAGTTTTAACCGTGATGAAATACTTACTTTGTATCCATGGTTACATTATAAGTGCAGAAAGGGATTTTAAATCATTGCTTTCTCTGTAAATGTTACTTTGTTGTGTTCTTAACATTGTGGGCGTGTCGATATGTATTATTTGTAATTTATGTTGCAGTTCTGAAGTATTTGCATTTTGTATTTGCATCCTACAATGTTCATGGTGTGCTGTGGAGAAGAAGAAAAAAAGATGTCACTGAAATACTGGGACCTGCTTGCAAAGCAAATAAAGCGTGGTGATAAATCACGTGGGAAGGAAAACTCTGGTTTGTTCATTTCTGTCTGATCGGTGATAATCCCTCTGGGTCTGTGCCTCCTCGATTCCTTTCCTCGCCTCCTGCAGCTGCCTTTTAGGGATAAACGTGAATAACCACCAGTCTGTTCCCTGCTGTGTGCTACTGCTCATGTGGCGAGAGGGGGCGGAGCCAGATGTAAACAATCAGCTGTTTTACGTCCACTTAAGCCAATAGAACGCCTCAAAAAAGCGTTGATTGAGATTGAGAAAAACTGATGATATGGCTGTTTACATCCTCCTCTTGGTCCCCAGAGGAGACGTAATTACCGTAAATCTGTTTTGGACCACAGCTGTACGTATGAACACGTTAATCCTGAAGAACAACAAATGCTGCGGTTTGTCCCGTCCGGTGGACGTAAGCAGCTTATTTACAAAGTGTAGATAACAAATATTCCACAAGCTGGTCAAGAACCTCTCGTTGCTCCCCAGGAAGTACCGAGAGCATTTAAAAGTAAACCTCATTATGCAAAGCTGACTCATATTTCATGTATGTACTGTTGATCCTCACGGCTGCTTTGATGCCATCTTACGATAAACGATAATACACAATACAGATCGACCTTTTTTGCCAAACTAACATACATGAGATTTTGAAAAGGTATTCTTTGATGTTGTCCAAATAGAATACAGTGACTTTTCATTAAACATTGGAATACTTTGCTCTCAATACTGTACATAAGCTGATTTATTTTTGAACTTTGTCTCGTATTTGACAGTTATTTAGTAATTGGTACTATCAAAGTTTCATATTAAACTTGACTGACATAATACCATGACTGAAATTTAACGTATATATTATCCAACATACTGACCATTTTCAAACTTCTGTATTTACCGGTTTACGGTGTGAAAAAAAAAGAAAAAAAAAAGTTCTCCCCTACATACTAGACTTATGAATAATTTTTTTACATACATGACATTTCTTTGATACCTTTAAAGACACTCAAACCGCTACAACCAAAAGCAGATTTAGAGATGACTCAACTGCTAAATTAAGATCTTTAACCTTAAAACCAGCGCAATTTTTTGTTTTTCAGACACAAACCTGCACTGCCCTCATCACATGTACACAATGTGCTCTACAACACGTGGGTGGAAACCAGCAACACTTTCCAAGTCTGATTCAACACAGATTTAATATCTCAAAAATGGAGAAACAAACATTAGTACAAGATAGAACTCTGACAAAAGGTTTACAGAAGAATCCCAGATGGAAAACAAGCCAAAGAGCCGACACCGTTGTCTGTCACGCTGCCTCCGGGTTAATTATTTGTTAATAAGACTTCCCAGGTCACATTTCTTTGAAAAAGGGGGAAAAAGTTATTTTGAAGAGATTATTTCTATAATCTTTTTTTAAATAAGTAAAGACTCCTCCCAAAAAACTACAAAAACTATGCAGAAAAGTTGTATAGGAGCAGATTTATTAGTGATTAAACAGTCCAACATCACAATGGAGCTGCAATCCTTAAACAGAATACAAATGAAAATACCGAAGAGAAACGGATCACTACACATTTGAAAAGCTTCAGTACTTCAGGTGCTTTTTACCTGAAAGCAACTTGTAAAAACATGAAATAAAATACGTTTGTTCAAACACAACAAACTGTTTGCGATCAGGACTCCTCTTCTGCGTGCTTATTGGCCAAGAGAGCTGTCAATCATCTGATGGGAGACTCATTCTGAAATATTCAAACAAAGACAAAGTGGTAATTAAGTTACTGGACAAGGCAGAGCTTTTCGTGCATCATTTCAATCTGAAATTTAACAGATTATAGATTCACTTTTTGCTTGCAGGGACTATAATGTGTAATTAAACATCTTTAAAAAGATTTGCATTCAGTTTTTCCTCTGATGTTGGTTTCCCTCAGTAATCGACTCAGTTCTGCTTTGAAAAGCAGAACTCAAGATCGAGAATTCTAACTGAAACCAACACCTTTACGAGCGGGGGGGTTGCTTAGGCAGCCACGCTCACACTGCCCTCCATATGGACCAATCCTCACAGTTCACACAGCAACTAAAGCGCCATTAAGCCTGAAGTAAACTCAGCCGGCTGGGAAAAATGATTTGAGATATGTGATAATTCACATCGAACCAAAACATCTGTAATGTAACTGTAATGCATCTCTACATTGGTCCCTTACTGGTCTTGAAGGAAACCTGCAGGACTTTGTCCCCCAGTCGGTATCCGTTGAGGCTGTGGATCGCCATGGCGGCCTCCTCGTAGTTCGTCATGGTGACGAAACCGAAGCCTTTGCACTTGTTGGTGTTGAAATCTCTGATCACTTTCACATTGACGACGGCACCGAACGGCCCGAACATCTGCCAGAGGATCGCCTCGTCGGCGTCCTGGCCCAGATTATAGATGAAGATGCACCAACCGCCGGAGGGGCTCCCCGAGACTCCGCCCCCTCCGCCCATGTGGTCGACGCTCATTGGAGAAAACCTGGGACAGAACAGGAAGTGGGGCGTGATGAAGATGGGATGGTACAGTTATCCGGTTACTAACCAGGTTAAAGGAGGTTTACTACTTGCAACCCGTTACCGATGCACGCAGACATCTCCGGCGCTCTGCTGGTGAGTGACAGACGAGTGGGCGTACCTGAACCTCTGCGCCTGGTGATGCACGGGGCCGCCGAAGCGTCGCGATTGGCCGTGGTACATCTGTGACATCATCTGAGAGTTCCGGGCCTGATTGGGGTTAGCGGCGAACTTGACCGTGATGGGCTCGGCGCTGCCCGGGGGCGTGTGCCCGTTCAGGTGCTTGACGGCTTCTTCGGCCTCGGACCTCTTATCGAAGCGGATGAAGGCCACGCCCCGAGAGAGACCTGGACAGCCAATAAGAAAAGGTGGTGAGCTCTACGGAGCGCCCGAGAGTGGGAGTGGTCACATGGCGGCGCGTTGCGTTACCTGAGGCCTGGTCCACCAGCACTCTGGAGTTGATGATGTGCCCAAAGCGGGTGAACATGTCTTCCAGTTCCTGCTGACTCAGCGTCCTCGGCAGTCCGCTGATGTACAGATTTGCATCTTTGATCATGTCCGAACTCGGCCGCGCGAACGAGACCTGCAGGGAGGAGACGGGAAGCGTTTCAGACCGGCGCCGTTGCAAATAGAATAAATAAATACAATTTAAATATATTTTTTTAAAACACTGAAAATAAAACATTTACAGACAGTTTTTAAATAAAATCCAGGAATATGTTTAAATGTCTAACTTCAATAAAAAAATGAATAAAATAAACATTGTTCCAGATTTGTCCCAAATCCAATAAAAATAAAAAGACAAAATTAAAGCATCCAAAAAAGATAATTAGGCACTTTTGTAAAAAATAAAAAAGGCATTAATTTATGCAAAGAAAATGTTGGCACATTGTCACACTGAACTGAAGAAATTCACAGATTCAGTGTAAACATGTGCGGATATATATGTGTATATATATATTTATAAAAATAAAAAACAGGTAAGAATAATTTACCAAGTCAGAAAAACAGAAACAGCAGTGTTTAAAAAAAATACCTTCATCCGTCAGACAGTATGCGGGAGAGAAAGCAACAACAGCCTCTACTGTCCAGGGAACATAAGACATCTATCAGTGGAGACAGGAAAGTCAAAGAGCACCTGTTGCACATTACCTTGATAGTTTTAGACTGTAGCCTCAGGCCATTGAGGGTACTGATAGCCCTCTCTGCATCATTAGGGTTAACAAAGTTAACAAAGCCGTAACCTAAACTGTGGCCTAGAGAAACACAAAGGAAAACAACAAAATAAAATAATAAAACCGTCTGTGTTACTGATGCCACACATGCTGGATATTGAAAAAATAGGCAAGAAATCAGCAGAGAACTCTCCATCCGGGGTTTGTAAAAAAAGACAAACAACTCGGGAGTGCTGTAGGTACGGAAGGTTTAGTCAGAGTGAGACCTCCAGGCCACAAAACGCTTGTGTGGGAAATGTTTTGGCCACTTGGTGGCGCTCTCCCCCAGGAGGGAATCTAAAGGGCCGGACCTGGAGCGCTCACTCCGAGTAAACGCTCATTGCAGAATGTGAATTGGTCAGTCGCTCGGTCAAGTTTTAACGAAAAAGTTCTCAAACATTTACTATTAAAGATTTACAGACATTTTCAAAGCCTGAAAAATAAAAATAAAACAGGTGAAAACAGCATTGAAACAATTGTACATTGTTAGATTCTGTTAAATGATTAAAAAACAAATGTTTAATCTCGGGTTGGACGATGTGATGTTGATGCAGGATGAATTTATGCTATTTTGTCTTTAATATCAATCATGAGATGTCAGATGTAATTCAGAATTGAAGTGTTTGTAATTCCCGGGTTGGTTTATGTGCGTTATGAATAATCTGTATTTAAATGGGATCCACATCGCACAGCCCTGATTTTATCCATTACCCTCAGACACCTGAAGTCACTTAACCTGGTGTGAAAAATAAATAAAAAAATATTACAACAATGCAGAAAATAAAACATTCAGATATAATTCAGACAAATATCATAGAAACGTACTTTAGAAACAACACCATGATATTGTAATAAAACCAACGAATAAAACAAAAATCAGATGCTCCCCAATAAAAAACATTAAAAATGAAAAAGAAATAAAACCGTTGCTGGGGAGAGTACACAGGAAATACTGCAGATAGTACTACAACTAATACTACTACTACAGCTAGAACAACAGCAACTATTACCATTTCTACCACAAGTACTACTTCGAATTAGTACTTTATACTTCGTAGCACTGTGGTAGAATGACAGAACTCATGCATCACAGTATTTCTACTCATAGTATTCCTCAGGGATTCTGGGGCATTTGTAGGAACTAACATTTGCAGATAAAGTAGCACTACAATACTATGGTGTCTTTTAAGTGGTACTGCAGTCTGATACTTCGGCAGTAACCAGTCGTGTAGTACACACACCGCCTCTCCGGCAGCGCACGGGCGTTCTGCATCACGCGACTGACTTATTCAAACAAGTAAAGGCCTTTCGTTTTTGGGATGTTTGAATAAAACACTTCCCTAAAAAGGTGCTTTTTATGCAGGTCTGGAAAACAAAAACTAAACATCCCAAAGATGAAATCTTCTACTCGACATGCAAACAAATAGTTGCATGTTACGGCCCATCCCCGTGTGGTACTGCAGCTCGAGGCCTCTGTAGAACCTCTGCAGTACGAGAGCAGTACAGGGGCCATTCGGCAGCAAGTATTCGAGGTTACAAGTTACCTGCTACTTTGTCCCGGATGAGTTTGGCGGACTCGACGTCGCCCACGCTGCTGAAGAGGCTGCGCAGCTCGTCCTGACTCATGCTCTGAGGCAGGTAGTTCACGATCAGGTTGGTCCTGGAGTCGTCGTCCTCCATCATCTGCTCGCAGTACCCGTTGTCGTACAGCTCCTGAGGGACAGACGCTCGCCTTTATTACGCCATCGACACACACTCCCACAATGCAACACTCGGCAACTCAGCCTGGCAGCAACATAACACGGCGTGGGGCAATTCAGAAACAGCGCACGCAAACAAAAAACCCCAGATTGGGCCAATCACCTTTCCAGAGGCTCCTTTGGAGGCGTGCTGACCATCTCTGACATCATTCTGAGACGTCTGAACCTCACACACCTGGAGGAGCACACACACACACACACACGTGTTACACTACGGCACACACCAACAGGGGAAGGGAGGTAAAGAGAGGCTCCATAGAAGGGTGGCTGACGTACCTCCATCTGTGCCTGATGGGTTATTGATCTGATCAGGAAGTTATGGATCCACTTACCTTCAGGTACCTGATGTGTCCTCGTCTTAACGCCATGGGAACGACTCTGGGTGTTCACTGTCGTCTGAGAGAAACCAGCTGTCAGCAGGCGAGGAAGAGGAGATGAACTACAAGACGAAGGACACGGGTACGGTCAAAGGGTGAACACTTGTTCAAATAAAATCACAATCAGATGCAGCGGTATTCCGCCATCCCCCACATCTGTTCAGCTATACCACACACACACACACACACCTGAGAGCAAAATCAAGGGAGTGAAACTTAATAAAAAGATGCCTGTATACCACGTGGATGTTTAAGCTGCCAATCTTTCTTGCTAACGTTTTAGGAAATGAGTCTGAAGGGACTTTGCATGTAAATCAGAGGCCAATAAGCAACTATCTGGACATGTTTTTTTTTTTTTTTTAAACAGGCCCAGGTAATCCCCCGTTTACGTCATTCTACATTCATCGCCCCCCCCCCCCCCCTCCGCCCCCGCTTCATCATGTTGTTTCTACGTCACCGAAACGCACCGTGCAGATCGTTTTAAAATCAGCGCGACCAACACGCTCACTGAGATTAAAAGAGGCGCTCGCGGATTTAAATTGAGAGCATTCATGAATAGTTTATGAAGCAAAAATAGTCCACTACTGTAACATAGAATGGCGCCGTGGGTGGTTTCACCTCCCGTCCACCGTCGCTGGACATGATAACGTATAAGTGAATAGTCTATTCCCACAATTCATCGACTGCTATCGGAGCGAGCAGACGACATTCTTATCAATTGCAATGTTTGTATAAACTGTTTAAGAACACGTTCCCCGCGGTGCGAAAACAGGACCGCACCGGAAAGGAGCCCGACTATACGGACGCTGGGCGTTGAACCAAACGACTCGGGTGGATTGAGGGCGGTTGGTTTCAGATATAAACGATGAGAAAATGTGACGATACAGAGCTAGCGGCTAGCTAGCGGCTAACTGGCGACTAACCCCCCAGCTGGCCACATGTAAGCACCGCGGCCGCACAAAGAGGCGAAGCGGCTAATGGCGCTGATGGGCTGTTTCAGCGGGAGCTAACGGCACAAGGAGACGTCGCAGTTCTTACCTGTTACTTTGTGGGGGAACTGACGGACGGTACGAAGGCTTTGGTATATCGATCCACGGATGTTGTGCTGATGCCAATCGAACAAAACCGGCTGTAAAAACGGAAGATTAGCCGTTGCGTGTTAGCTGATAACCGCTCCCGCTCTGCACAAAGGAACCAATCGTAGTTTGATGAAGTATCGCGATACTACCGCGTCGTCTTCTTCTTCTTCTTCTTCTTGTCTTCGGTTAGCATGGGTAACTACTGCCATCTGCTGAACAACCTGAAAATATATACTATACTACACTATGGTTGCTGTAACAGTTTGCAAATGTACTGATATTTTTATTTTTTTACAAATCAGCTCACAATAGGATTCACATTAAACAATGTAATGTATTACATACTCCTTTAATGTCAATAGTCCTATCAATATGTTGAATTATTGATGAAACCACCTGTGAAAAAAAGAAATAATGAGGAACAAGGAAAACTAGATTGTTGTTTAAATGAATTCATAATTAGCAGAGGTGTCAAGTAACGAAGTACAAATACTTCGTTACTGTACTTAAGTAGAGATTTTTGGTATCTATACTTATACACTTAGTATTTATTTTTCAGACGACTTTTTACTTCTACTCCTTACATTTTCACGCAAATATCTGTACTTTCTACTCCTTACATTTTAAAAACAGCCTCGTTACCTCCGGCTTGTCGTAGTTCAAAAACACACAAACACAAAAACCCATCTAGATAAACGGCGCTATGCGGACATAGTGAATGTGATTGTGTTTGGATGAGAAGTATAAACGTTTAGTATCCAGACACCCGATCGGTTTTCTCTGCGATGCGCCGGCAGATCGGAGCGACACCGGGTGGGAAAAGTGGTCTTTGGAAAGTTGGTATTTAGCGACACGGACCCTCCTCCTCTTCCCCCTCCTCCTCCTCCTCCTCTTCCTCACGCAGATTCCATGTAACGTTAAATGAGTATCTTCGTGACCGTGGGTTTGTCCTAAATGTTTTATTGAGAGTCTGGCACAACACAGCGACTTGCGTATTAAATAAAGTGACGTGTGTCTTAATGCGGCTTTGGAAATGAACACAAAGGGATTCTGTATTTGCTCATGAAGCCTGAACATACGGGTTATTTGGCCAATGTTTGGATAACCGACCGCTGCCAGTTCAGTGTTTCCCATCATTATAAACAGCGGTGCGCCCCCCACCCCGTGAAAGTCAGGACCCCCCGTGACGTAGTGAACCTGGGGGAGACACTGCAGTCCAACTAATCAATGCAAACAACGTGTGTGTGACTCGTGTCACTGGAAAATGGGTTGTGGTTTTATGTGTTAAGTCAGATACATTTGTTGTTGTTGTTGTTGTTGTTTCCACCGTCCCAACGGCAGGTCACGTGATCGGCAGGCGCCTTCTGATCACATTGTAACGGACGTGTTGTGTGAGCGAGGTTACGCATTAAGAGTTTGTTCTTATTGGAATTTCTTACATTACTTTTACTTTTATACTTTAAGTAGTTTTGAAACCAGTACTTTTATACTTTTACTTAAGTAAAAAGCCTGAGTCGATACTTCAACTTCTACAGGAGTCTTTTTAAACCCTAGTATCTGTACTTCTACTTGAGTGTCAGGACCGGATAAAAATGAGGACTCAGATGCAGAGGGTTTGGCGTCTTTAATCGCGTCGTGAAAAAAACAAACAAACAAACGGCTATGAGCTATCAGTGTTTCCGACGAAAGTTAACAAACTAAAATCTCTCTTAAACGAGGAAAACGAACGGCTTCGAAAGCGCGCTAAAACTAAAACTAAGAAGCTCCAACAAAGGTCACTCTTACTCAGAGGAAAAAACATAAAGGGGTAATCATTCCGAGACAAGGCATTGGTATTAACAAATCCTGTGGCTGTGGCGAGGCTTGGGTGATCGCACGGTGGTACACTCAGGCACAAGACAAAGGGAGACGCAGACTATAAGACACATGAGGGTAATGGGAAACAGGTGGACACAATCAGGAATCAGGGGAGACGATTCGACTGGTGACATGAGGAAGGGCAAGTGACCTGAAACGAGAGGAAGGTTACTACTTTCAAAATAAAACGGAAATGACAAGACCAAAACATGCCGACAAAAACCCAACTTGACCTCACCCTGTGACAGTACCCCCCCTTCTAGGGCCGACTCCTGACGGCCCAGGCTGTTCAGGGTGGTCCCTATGAAAATCCTTTATGAGGTTAGGGTCTACAATGAAACGCGATGGGATCCACTGTCTCGCCTCCGGTCCATATCCTTCCCAGTCCACTAGGTACTGTCTACCCCGGCCCCGAGTGCGTACCGCCAACAACTGCTTGACCTTATACACCGGACCGCCGTCTATAACTTCTGGTTGTGGCGGGGGTGCAGCAGCAGGGACCATCGGGCTCTCTTTCGCAGGCTTGACCTGGCTGACGTGGAAGGTGGGGTGAGCACGAAGGGATCGAGGCAGGCGAAGACGGACCGCCACAGGGCCGATGGTCTTAGTGATGGGGAATGGGCCCACGAACCGTGGAGCCAGCTTCCTTGAAGGCACCTTGAGGTTGAGGTTCTTAGCTGACAACCACACTTTCTGACCTTGCTGGTAGGCAGGGGCGGGTCGTCTCTTGCGGTCTGCAGCCTTCTTTACTCTGTCCCCTTGGCGAATCAGCACCTGCCGGGCGGCTGCCCAGATGCGACGGCAGCGACGAATCATTGCAAGGGCGGAGGGCACAGACACCTCCGGTTCATTGTCTGCAAACACGGGGGGAAGGTAACCAAACACACATTGAAATGGTGGGAAACTAGTGGCTGAGGTAGGCAATGAATTGTGGGCATACTCGGCCCAGACCAGGTTCTTGCTCCATGTTGAGGGATCCTGGGCCACCAGACACCGGAGGCTGGTTTCCAGTTGCTGGTTGAGGCGTTCGGTCTGGCCGTTGGCCTCTGGGTGATACCCCGAGGTCAGGCTGGCCTTCGCTCCGATGAGCCGACAAAAGGCCCTCCAGAACCGGGAAACAAATTGGGGCCCCCGGTCCGAAACTATGTCCTTGGGGAAGCCGTGGATCTTAAAAACATTGTTCATCATTACCTCCGCCGTTTTCTTGGCGGAGGGTAGTTTTGGCAGAGCAATGAATCTAGCCATCTTAGAAAATCTATCCACAACCGTGAGGACAGTGGTGTTACCTTGTGAAACCGGGAGCCCCGTGACAAAGTCTATAGAGATGTCTGACCACGGTCTGGAGGGGATGGGTAGTGGCTGTAAGAGTCCCATGCGTGACGTAGAAGAAGTCTTGTTTCGGGCGCAGACCGAACATGCCTCAACGTACTCCCGGACCTCCGGTTCCATGGCTGGCCACCAGAATCTCCGGGAGATGACGAACATCGTCCTCCGAACTCCCGGATGGCAAGAAAGCAGTGAGGTGTGGGCCCAGTG